TATTTATTTGTCCGACAAGTATTTTCGGACGGAGGGAGTACTATTTAGTGTTAAATTTGTCATTTTTTCTGAGTTATGCTTCAAATTTTGAGTTCAAATTTTGTGACAACCAAAATTGATGTTGTGTAAATGTGCTATTTTTTATATTTTAAAATGTGTGCTCGGTGCACCGGTGCACAAGATATTCTCCCTGTGGATGAAACCTAGCAACATTTTCTTAGTGGAAAAACCATCAATGCTTGTTGTGACCTGATGCTGCTCACTATTTCAGAAATATCAGCCCCAATCCAGTGCACAATAACTGGGCCTGAAAGATGAACGGTGAAGCTAGGAGAAAATTTTATAAAGTCAAGCTGTATGTAGACAAGCTACGTTGTTGGAGCCGGTGAAAGCGATCGCGGCTCACAGCGCTCCCCCTCCCAAGAAGGGGAAGACTGCCTCACCTCCTGAAGAGGAGGACAACGACGATGGCAGTAGCGAGGAGGGAAGGATGATGATGAGCCTGATGACCCACACGTATAGGGGATCGCGACAGTCTTTGAGGGTAGTATTTCATTCAAATTTATTGTTTCGACACAAGGGGATTCTGAATATTTATAAGCCTTAGCATTTGAGTAGTCAATTCAATCACACCTAAGAAGTTATTTCTCTACAACAAAGTATCAATAGCACAATAGTATGATAGTTTTGATAGTAGAGGTAAGAGTAGCAATAGTAGTAGTAACAGTGACAGTGGCAATTTTGTAGTAGTCGGAACAATAGCAGCAATAGTAGTAACTTAGCAAAGACAATATGAGCAAACCGTAGGCATTCGATTAGCCATGGATATTTGTGTGGATGGCATTCATCATGTAACAGTAACAACCTAGAGCGGTACATAATAGCTCAAATTCATCAATTCAATGTAGGCATGTATTTTGTATATAGTCATATGTGCTTACAATAAAAATTTGCATGACATCTTTTGTTCTACCCTCCGGAGTCCATAAGAAAATGTAAGGGCAATTAAGGCCTCCTTTTAATACAGAACTGGATCAAAACATTAACACATGATGAATATATGAACTCCTCGAATTACAGTCATCCCCAGAGAATATCCCAATTATTGTCACCTTGGGGTCAACGGTTCAGAACAATAACAAATGGATATAACTAGCAGATAGGATCAAGAACTCATATATGTTCATGAAAACATAATAGGTTCATATCTGAAATCATGACACTCGGGCCCTAGTGATAAGAATTAAGCATAGCAAAGTCATAGAAATATCAATACCAGAATATAGTGGATACTACGGATCAAGCCCTAACAAATTGACTCGATTACATGACAAATCTCATCCATCTCCATCACCGCCCAGCAAGCCTACGAAGAAATTACTCACACCCGATGGTGAGGATCATGGAATTGTTGATGAAGAAGGATTGATGATGACGATGGCCACGAATCCCCCTATCTGAAACCCCGAACGGACTCTAGATCAGCCCTCCCGATGAAGAATAGGGAGTGGCGGCGGCCCCATATCGTAAAATCCTATGAGACTTCTTCTCTTATCTTTTCTCGGGAATACGATACTTATGGAGGTGGAATTAGGTCAGACGAAGCCACAAGGGGCCCACAAGATACCAGGGCGTGCCCAGGGAGTGTGAGCAGCTGGTGGCCCCTCTAGTGGATTTGCACCATTAATTTTTATTTATTCGATAAAAAATCTCCGCCAAGTTTTGTCCAATTCCGAAAGCTTTTATTACTGCACAAAAAACAACACCATGGTAGTTATGCTAAAAACAATGTATGTCCAGATTAGTTTCATTCAAATTATGCAAATTAGAGTCCAAAATAAGAATAAAAGTGTTTGGAAAAGTAAATACGTTGGAGATGTATCAGAGGCCTCCAAGGAGGAGGGTGGTCTTGCCGGTGAGGGGGTGCGCAAGCGACCGTGGTTGCGCGGGCCTTGAAGAGGAGCCACAGCGGCGGGATCTCCGCCACCGAAGCTCATCCAGAGGAGGGGCCCCACGAGGGCTCCCCGAAGATACGGAGGGCCATGGAGGACATTGGTGCTCCTCCGGCAGTGGTCCTTCCTATCAAGGTGGTGAAGCCCCCGTGGCAGCGCAACACATTCGAGCATGGCTGTTTTGTGTTTTCTTCCTTGCTCAATTTTTCCTTTTTCATTGGGTAGAGTGGAGAATAGGGTGTCACCGCGGCTAGAGGTCATTGCTTTGAAGACTGGTAGGTATTCCATCTTTTGGTCTTTGCCCGTGGAGTCTTAGGGATTTTGTCACTCCGTGGTGAAACTATTTTTATTTTTGCTATAGATGTCCCACCTCTAGCCATTGATCCCAAGGTCGCGACGGTCTCAGCTTTCGCTCCACAAGTCCCGGACCGCCCCGCTATTGGCGAAGTGGATGCCGGAGCCCTTCGCCAAACGATGATAAGGTTGTGGATGAGGCAGAGATCGAGATGCCCAAGGCTTGCATGCTTGAGGCCGTAGTACCACCTATAGTGCCGCTAGAAATGGGGTCCATTGTCCCACCTTTCATGTCTGCATCTTCGTTGGAACCTGTTGCCGACACCTTGAAGTCTGATGCCAAGGGGCAGGACTGGAGGAGGAGGAAGACGAGGAGGGCGGCCATAGACTATGTCGTGGTGTCATTGCCGCCTTCATCATCCTTGAAAGGGGATGAACAAGGGTCGGATGTGCCGGAGGAGACCAAGGCCGCCAAGACCACGAAGCCTTTCTACTCCTCTATCCGAAAGCAAGGTGACTCGGTGGAGTCGAGGTTCGTGGTAATTTACCCTTATCCCTAGCAATTGTATTGTACTACACCAATAGTAGCAGTAGCAACAACAACAACAACAACAGTAGTAGTGGGAGGAGGAGCAGTAGGAGTAGCAGCAACAACAACAGTAGTAGTACCCTTGAGACCAACTGTAGTAGTAGTAGCAGCAGCAGGAATAGTAGTAGCAGCAGTAGCAGGAGTAAGTAGTAGTAGTAGTAGTAGCAGCAGCAGCAGCAGCAGTAGCCCCTGAGACTAACTATGATTGGCATTTAGAAACCAGGCTTAGGTCATAGTCCTTTGCCACTAGTCGGTAGATAGCACAATCCTATTAAAAGCACTGTTTAATAAAATAGTAAGCTCTCGATTGTATTTTTTCAGTAAGAATACCACATGTGTCATTTCTTCACGAAACAGCACAACAGAGTAGAAGTAGAATGGTCGATCAAGTTTGATACCCAAAAAATATAATTTGTTTTTTTAAATCCGTATTTTGTTTGAATTTACTATTCATGCGAGAGGGCATGGAATCAACGTTCACCTTTGTACTTCTGTTGTCTCATTATATAAAATTTGGCGATTCCTATTTGGTGTGTGGGTCGCTACAACGCATACCCTCCCCATGCACTACGTCCTCGCTATGGGCCGGCCCATAATGGATTTTTTTCCACCAGTTTTTGGAAGGTTCTAGAACCTTCCATAAACTGTTTTATTTTCTTCTGTTTTTGTATGTTTTTTCTTGTTGCCTTTATTTTTATTTTTCTTCTTCTTTTATTTTTAATTTTATGAAAGATTTTCTAAAATTCTCTATATTTTTGAATCCATGAACATTTTGAATTTGAAACTCATGACCAATTTTTGAATTTACAAACATATTTTTTCAAGTTTGTGAATATTTTTTGAATTCATGAATATTGTTAAATTCACAAAATTTTAAAAATTCATGAACATGTTTTTGAATTCGCTAACATTTTTTGAGTTCATGAACAATTGTTTTGAATTTGAGAACATTTTTAGAATTCATGAATATTTTTTAGAACTTGCGAACATTTCTTTGAAAGTCATGTACATTTTTTAAACTCACAACAACTTTTGGAAACTTGTATATTTTTTGAATTCATGAACATTTTTTGGACTCACGAATAGTTTTTAAAATACATGATTTTTTGAATCCATGAATATGTTTGAATTTATGATTTATTTTTCAAATTCACAAACAATCTTTGAATACATGAATCTTTTTTTATCAAAAATTTCAATTTGTTTTGAATTTTGGAATTTTTTTAAACGTTGAATTATCTTAAAGAAGAAGAAAAACAAAAGCAGAAAAACAGAAGGCAAAAGGGAAAAAGAAAAACAAATAAAATTAATGGGGCGTCTCGCACACCAAATAGGAGCACCCATAAAAATTGCAGTCATTTTGTCTGAAAAAAGATAGTCATTTATCTCAAAAAATGTAGCCATGGGACCCAGCCCAATTACAACATGGGTGCTACCGTGCAGGATCTGCTCTCACTTGTTTCTAGCATCGTTGCTAATACAATCTCTTGCGCTCGCAGAAGACCTTTCTCTTAGAGCCTCGTGGTGGTGTGTGGCTCGCAGAAGACCTTTCTCTTAGAGCCTCGTGGTGGTGTGTGACAGCAAACCGAAGGTACATGATATACAAGACAGAACTAAATGAGCTTATTTGACAGTGATTAGAGAGATTTCACTTTATAGGTGCAACTTTAGTAGTTGCAGTTTTATTTTTAGAAGTAGAACATCGAATGTTGATGCGCATAATCTAGCCAAACATTCCCTTTTGCTTGATCAGGGCCAAACATTCCCTTTTGCTTGATCAGGGTCATCACTTGTGGCTCATTTCTCCGCATGTACGCATCCCTCTTAATGTTCAAATGAATCAATCAAGTGTTGGCACCTCTCAACAACAACAACAAAAAACAGTCCCTCAACAGAAACAAGTACTCCCTCCGTTCGGAATTACTTGTCTCAGAAATGGATGCATCTAGAACTAAAATACGTCTAGATACATCCATTTCTGCGACAAGTAATTCCGAACGGAGGAAGTACAAAACAGAGTACAAGGAGGCACTCACTAATACAATCTCCTAAAAAACTACTCCCACTATCCCATAACATAAGACGTCTTTTAGTGTTAAAAAAGTCTTGCATTATGGGACGGAGGGAGTACGAAACAGAGTACAAGCCATCCTTCTCAAGGACACATGCAACTAAACTATTACAAATCCCATAGAATCAGCAAAAAACAAAAAAGACGTCATGGCAATTTGCCAAACGCAACACAAGCTATAGCCGAGTCCCCTACGTCGGAGGGGGAGATCATCCAGACACCAACAGAAACCAGGCAGCAAACCTTCTTGTACAAGATTTTATCTTTCGGAAGCTTCCTGGTGCCATTGTGCGTTAATGACTCAGGGAATAATATACCTCAAACATTTCGAATGGAAAACTTCACGTCCGGTAAGTTGCACCTCCTACCAGGCTACAAGGCATCCAATTCTGTAAGAAAGCATCCAACTGCACCGTGCCATCAATCACTTGCTACAATAATTCAGGACGCCTTTATTCTTGCTTCATGTAGGATTTGTACTCTGCACACTTGGGAGACCCAAGAAGCGGCCTATAAATACCTCGGTCCATCCATTCCCCAGTTCATCAAGCACACGACAGTTCTAAGCCTTCCAGTGCCGGAACAGAGCAGCATATAAGAATGGCATCCCTGAAGGCCGTGAAGCCAACCGGACTTGAAGGGCAGGCCAAGGAGCCTACCAATGTTAGTGCCGCCAAGGGGCCTGCAAAGCTCAGTGCCACGGCGACCAAGCCAGCAGCCGCCAAGGGTGGCATCAAGAAGGCCGAGTCAAAGCCACGGGAGCCTAAGAAGAGGGTACAACCTGCAGCTGATGTCATATTGAGATCCTTATAACCTTCACCTTGCATGCTCTTTCCCTGATGATGGTGTTTTTCAAATGACAGCAGGTGAAGAGCTCCAAGCCAGCAGCAGCAAAAAACTGACAACGGCAGCAGAAGAAATGGAGCTTGCATGCTATCTTCATGGTGCTATGAATTATATATGAATCCCGCCTTTCCCTTCCTCTGTCTCCCATGATGTCGATCATGCCTCGACAGGCGCTGACAGTGTGTGCGCAATCCATGTGACGAATATTACAAATAAGACGTGTAGTTCTGCCATCTGCTTCATCTTATCCTGCTTGATGTTTCACTGCTTTCTCCCATTTTACGTGTGTTTGTTTGGGTTTGATTGGCAAATACAATAACACAAACACCAATCACCCGAGACCCTAAGAATCATCATCTCTGTGGTGTCGTCTGAAAAAAAAGAAGCAAAACCCATTATGCCAACGATAATAGGAGTACATGACAAACGATTATCATGATCCTACACAACCGCAATCATCAAACAAACAGAAATTTCAGGACACAGAACTGTTACAAAATCACACAACCAATCACCATAAACGCTGATGATGTCTCAAAAAGTAACACTACGTGAATGACCAGCCACACTTACCCAAAAATTAGAAGAACACACACTTGGTAATTATGAACAGAAAAGTCAAAGGTGGGCACTTCTGAAATTATCCTGGCGCATTTAGAAACAACAAAAAAACTTCCTCAATCAACTTTTATATTACCTATACAGTGACTTCCTAGTTTTTGTTCGATACAAATTAGAACATTGCAGAACCCATGATTACAAGCCCTTGTGAGTGATATAAAGTACACCTCATCTACAAGTTCAAAAACAGAAGGGGTAAAAGAAGGCGTTGTTTCGACTCATGTAGGTTCCTCCTTAAACGGATAGCAGGTAAAGAAGTGTACAGGCCAACATGCCAGGAAAGTGCACACCAACAAAGTTGATACATTTTGGAACGTTCATTTTTCTGTCGTATACTCCCTCCGTTCGGAATTACTTGTCGTAGAAATCGATGTATCTAGATGTAATTTAGTTCTAGATACATCCATTTCTGAGACAAGTAATTCCGAACGGAGGGAGTACTAACTAGAAGCGGAAGCGCATTTTGCCACGTCATTTGGCCTTGTAGCTTTCTTTTGGTGTTTTTTTTTCATAAAGGGCGTTTTTATTACATAGTGAAGCACCAAGAGGATACAAACACAATGAGCATACACCCGGCCTCTGCACGACTAGGATGCAGACAGCCAACACCAACACACACACAAGGGATCACGCCGGCAAAAAGCAAAGTCATTGAAGACCAAAGCTATGCCTCGGTGGAGGAAAACAAAAAAGAAGGGATAACACACAAATAACAAACAGCACCACCGCCCACCATCTTTGACAACATTGAAACTACGAGAAAGGTTCAGCGTTCTTTTGGTGGTGGTCGTCTATTTTGTGTATTTCTTCGTTGGATACTTGGTCGTCTATTTTGCATGATTTAGAGGGCACACATCTCTTATTGGTATTTAGTAAAAAAAAATTGCACCAATTACTGTCCTTATGAAGACCCCCGATTCATATGCATTACCTTAACTGGAGGGCAGCTAGGTTAGAGCAGAATAGACAGATTTTGAGCTCTAATTGATGGGCCTAATTTTGAATGTGGGCCTTGCAGAACCCAGGTTTGTTACATGTGGACTTCTGAGCTGTTAATTGATTTGAGAATTAAAAATCATAGTGGTAAAACACAAGGCCCAAACCTTCTGGATCTCTAACCCCACTAGCCGGAGGCACACAAACACGAAGGCAACGTCGATGTAATGGTCACGTTGAAGCTCACTGCCGGTGTCCACGGCTACAGCTTTGACCTTCGCTCGCCCTCCACCGCCTCCCAGGACTCCGCCAGATCTCACATCCAACCCTAATGTCCTCCAGTCCATAAGCACATCTCCCTCCAAGCCCAATCCCCCCTCTTCCTCTATGGCCGGTGGCATGATGTTGGAAATTTGGGATTGTTACATCTAGTTCCCTCACCTGTCTGCCTTAGCGTTCAAGGGAGGAGGGTGTTCGATATGTGCAAGGAGGCCAAGGGACCAACTGACTTGGGAGAGAGCGACACTGCGTCCACCGGACGAACATACTTTCCTACTGCTCTGCCTATGTCTGAGGGAGTACCAGGGGTGCCAGGATGTCCGACGGCTGGCAGGTGATACGAAGCCCAAGCAAGCGACACAGGCACCTTGCGGCTGGGCCCAGGTCAAATCATTGGTCCTGACCGACTGACAAGCAAGGCCCACCACGAAAACAAACCTGGAGTGCGCACAATTCACAACTTCTTACATGCCTTAGGGAGCTTAGAGGTTGAAATTAACACAGAATTCCAAGTCAACATCAGTGGGGTTTTTTTTTTTTGAGGAGGAGGATCACCCCCGGCCTCTGCATCCGAAAGATGCATACGGCCATAGTCAACATCAATGGTGATTGAGAAGAACTACCCTTACCTCAAGTTAATGAACTCAAAAGAAATCCCATAACAGAAGACTTGGCACAGGATAATACTCCCTCTGTCCCATAATATAAGAGCGTTTTTGACACTACACTAGAGGGAGTACAATATTGGCACGGCCACAATTAATACATTCTTACAGTTTAATGAGAACCGTAGCAAATTTTTTACTACACAAAAATAATTCTAGCAGGGGAGGAGTTTAAGGCAAAAGATAAAGGCGGTAACAGCAATTACCTTCTAGAAGGGACTAATCCAACGGGCCAACTGCAATTGCCACTCAAAAACCAGGCGCCTTGGAGTTGGCGCAGAAGCTGCATTTCGGCAAGTTGCATCATCGGCATAAATAACAGAAAAGACATCTTCAACCAAAGGATCCCTTCCACCCCTAAGAGGATCCTGTGAAAAGATTTAAATAAACAAGTTAGAGCCTCATAATTAGGCGAGATGTTTTAATTACACAATTATACAGCAGTTACCAGTTCGGAGGGCTAATTATACAAATACTAATGAAAGTAAGATTTTAGCAAAGACATGATAAGATCTCTCTCTTACTAACTAATACTCCCTCAGATCCATAATAAGTGTCGCAGTCTTGAACTAAGGTTAGTTCAAAACTGCGACACTCTGCCTAAGCAGACCACCCCCAAGCCGCTACGCAAGGGCCTTTCCTCCGCCACTCTGCTGATTGCCTGGATTATCTGGAACAGAGGAACACGTGTGTGTTCGATGGCGACCTCCCGTTTGCCCCGAACACCATCGCACGCATGAAAGAGGAAGCCGCCCTTTGGTCTAGAACCGGAGTCCTCGGCCTTCGATTGTTGTTGCCGACAACCTGGGACATTCACTAAACGACCACCATGTATCTTTTGCCTCTTTGAGGGACGCTGTACCGAACTCTCCTGCTTTCCAATGAAATGAAACGCAAAACCTTTTTGCGTTTTCTCAAAAAAAATGAAGGCGGAGATATTTACGGTATGTTTGGTTTGTGACGAAAACAACCATACCAATTGTTTGGTCACAACCAGAACTTTGGTCCTTGTTTGGAATTTGGAATGTTGCCAAGAAAGCTTCATGCCCATGTCCCTTTTCCCACTCAAGTTCATTCTAATTGGCAATATGGCCCAATCATAGGCAAGCAAAACCTTGGCCAGAACTGGTTTGGCTCAACCATGCACACCCTAACACTTTAGTTGATTTGACAAGTCACCACTATTAAGTTGAATGATATAGCAACTACTACTTTTTCCCTACGTAAAATATTCTAGTATTACTATATAATTGGTACTAGTAAGATTCAGTGTCGCCATAACCTAGTGCGAACCAAGGAAAGGCCCACATAACCCCATTTTCTATCCTGAGAATTTGTTCATACAATGACCTCAAATATTTGAAATAGCACATTGAGGAGGTAGTCTTTCCAGAAATCCACCAATTTCATTTAGCAAAGTAAAAAAAGTAAGACAATTTGCGAATGAAGTCCTTACTGTTTGAGTAAATAGTTAGCATATGAATCAAGTTGAATTTTACAGTTATAACTACTATGATATACTACGACACAAAAAATGATTCATTATCAACATCCACATTTGTCACCTGTATAAATATATCTGTATGTGTTTTCCCTTCGTACAATAATAATGTGGCCTGGGCACCAGCTTGTTGAAGGACGTCTACAAAAGTTCGACTGCACATAAAAAGAAGCAGAGTAACTTGTATCGTGAAATTGGGAAACATTATATTGGTTAAACAAGGGAGCAATCAACTAAATATCAATCCAAATAACAGACAATAGATCAACCTTGTAGGCTTGCACTAGAAGCAGCAAAATATAGATGAGCAGAAAGTCAAAAAGAATTCTCAAATGTAGTATTATTGTTACAGGTGAAATAGTTGACACTTAATGCTGCACATGTAAAAACAGAGAGAATATTCATGTTCTAGTCAGCCAATACCCAAACTTGCCAGTATTTTGACAAATATACTATCATCTGGACTTCTGGAGTTTAACAAAGAGTGGTGTATGAATAGTTCTGCTATTGTTCCTATCGAAGGAAAATGTGAATACACCTTTCAACTTTGCAAACTTTATGTACAGTTTTGGTTTTAATATACTTCATCTTCAACAATTACCTTGGTACTAAAAGAGATGCTAAAAGCCTAAAAGTAGAGAAGGAAAGACCATGACATTTAACTTAGAAAAGTTTGATGCTGTGACTGCAAAAGGGTATGTTACCTTACCCAGCTTGGTTTATTGTTTCATGAAATCCAACTAGAGTATTTTCTGTAGCCTTTTCAACTCACTGAAGTTGTATACTGAAAATTGAAATGCGAAGGCTAGATATCCTACCCAACCTTGGTTTATTGTTTCATGAAATCCAACTAGAGTATTTTCTGTAGTCTTTTCAACTAGATCAGAAGAACAGACAGTGACTAAACTAAGATGCCAAGGGAAGTTTGTTTTAATAAATTGAGATGCAGATGGACTTGCACAGTAAAAGAATTTCCTTTTACCACAACATCAAGAATTTTTGGAGGGTAGGTGGGTATGGTTTGCCCTTCATTGTGTTAAATAAACATCTGCAGAAGACATAAACAAACCTGGAAGATGATGGTATTGAATAATCATCTGTTCCATGCATAAGAAAGATACGAGGAAGTAGAGCTATGGTCCGGGCACTTGACTCCTTGACAACAATTTCAGGAGAATAACGTGACAATGATTCTTCTCCCTCCATTATACTGAAACAGTAATTGTGCTTGGTGTCGGTATCAATTTATTATTAAATAAATGGATCAAAGCATAGTCATATTACTACCTGAGAAATATTGAACGGTTCAGACCACGCTGATGGAAATGGTCGACCAAATTATGGATGTTGTATCTGCAAAAATATTACTGTTACTGAACCATGTCGAGTGTCCACCATTATACATCCGAAAGGAAACATAAAATATTGGAGGTCAAGTTTTATTTGTAATCCAATGAAAAAGAAATATCACAATATATATTTGTAAGATAACTTTGAAGTACAAATCTATCAAACTCCATGTGACATTGGAATATGATGGTGTCCTCTTTGTAGATTAGAAGCAACTGGGACTAGGTGAAGGAGTTTGGTAGTGGCGTCATTCCAAAAATTTGGACCAAACTATTATTGTAATTACTGGCACAGAGGAAAAGTTGGAAAATTTATAAGGTCTTTCTTTGTGACAAACACGAGCCATCTGGTTGCAAATACAAAGACAACAATTGGTTTGGTTCTACTATTTTAAGACTAGCTCTCATATTGATACATTCAAATTAGTTCAAATCCAGAACATACAAAATATGATCACTGCAATTACTTTTTGAATACACAAAAGGGCAACCTAATGTGTACCCAGTATCTGATCAAATATGCTGAAGTCAATATCTTCCAGAGCAATCACTCAATATTCTGTGAACAATATGAAATTTAACCTTTGGTTATGGGTTTTAAGGAGTATTCGAAAACCAAAACCCCCAAAATGTCATCACAACTTACAGGAGCTCTGATGCTTGTACTATCTTAAGTTCCACAAGTAGTTAAATAGCCATGCACAAAAGACTAACCAGCAAGGAACCTAAGATCTCACCCTCCAGATAAACCAAAGTATGCGTTGATTTGTGTAACACTCCAAGAAATGGGCTGTCCGCTAGACTCTTTTACTGCCTGTTCCATTAGGGCACATGCTGAAATATGTGCTCCTGCTGACTGACCCATCAAGTAGATCCTACAGGTTTATCGTAAAATCAACTAGGTCATACAGAGTTATGATAACTGAAATGCCGTGCATATACAAACATCACTCTGGTGGAAGGTATCAGTAATGATAATAAACAGAATGATGTAAATATATGCCATCAACATAATGCAAAATGACATGTAAATATTTATAAAACTTAAGCTAGCACAAGGGCTTTAAGTAAAGTTCTAAGAAGTGTCCAGTGTATAAAAAGAGGTCAAGTTTCCTGAGTAATTCATTAATAATTTGTGGCTATCTAGCTGACAATCATCGGTTAACCGAATCATGCATCTTCTTAAGCAAATGACATGAATTGGCACGTAAACTTAGCCTAAGGGTAAAAACTGCTCTTTGTGGTCGTTCAACAGTCACTTTCGTACACACAAAAAAAATGGTTATCTTACTGATTAGGATCACCTCCATAACTAGCAATGTTGTTACACACGAATGAGATCCCCTGAGAAGCATCGCTAACCATGTCACTTATTGTTCCTTGAGGAAAATTTCTGAAAATAGACGTGTGAATATTGTGTCAAGAAAATAAAAAGTGAAACAATTGTTCAATATTATTAACAAAAATAATATGGAGTGATTTCAACGGAAATCAAGCAGCACCTATAATCAATGCAAGCAACTATGATTCCTCTCTCAGCCAACCGCCTGCCAAGAAGGGCACCCCATGCCTTGTAACTGAATTTCGAGCAAGGTCGTCAACAAATGAAGTCGCCGTGAAGGATTAACGGAATGCGTAGTTGCAAAAATATCAACTCACCCAATAATCCAGGCCCCACCAGTTACAAAGGCCACCACGGGACAGGGTCTTCTATTATCTTTGGGTATATACAAATCCAACCTGTACAATGCAATTGTCATAAAACTGAAAAAAAACATAGGAATGATTTCTGGGGCATTGGGGTGGGGATGGTTGATGTCACCTGTTTCTCGGTTGTTCTCCATAAACTATACTTCTACGAACCTGACTTGAAAAGAAATAGTAATATCCAACTGCAGTAAGAAAAGAATGTTTTCAGAATGCTATAGGATACCGATGATACCATATTCTAATGAAATGAGCCAACAATCCAAGGGTCCATTCAAGAAGCAGAAGACCACATGAACATCAAAAATAACAAAGAATATCCATCCACATGCTCTTTGATGTGCATAACAAAAACTGATAGCGCAATCCCTGAAATGTTAACCTGTCTGCAATATACCTTGCAAAAAACCTGGCATAAGTAGAATGGCATAGATTGCGAGGGCAAGAAGCTGCCTCATCCAGCGGTAACCTAACCTGAATAAAAATAAAATTAGAACAGGAACAGAAAAATATCAACAGTGATTCTATTCATCGCTACATTCTGACAAAAAGGGTGAAAATTATCAGTGAATCTTAACCTATCAAGATGAACGTAGTTTCGAACTACAATGAGGGCAAGAATTTGCATGGCCTCCCTATGCCATACTTCAAAAAAAATTGCCTTAATATATTCCCCGCAATTTTCAGTACGGACTCATAATGCAGCATCAAAGGGATACAAACACAATGAGCACACAACCTGGCTTTGCGCCACTAGGATGCACACAACCAACTACTCTAGTGAATACATAACAGGCTTATTTATGTTTCAGCAGAACTACTTGCAAGATCGTCCCCTCGATGTATCTCTTGGAGACGGTTATGACAGAAATAGCTGTGTTGTTGTAGCAAAGATTCGAAACACGATTCTAAGGCAGATAAAAGCGATCCCCTCCTTGTTCCGTCTTTTACAACGAAAGGGGCCAAGATCACCAAATCAAGACGGATACAGTTTTTTTATTTGTTTGTTTCTGAACAAATGGTTTGTTATGCAAAGACAAAGCCCGCACGACAGGGAAACAGTTATGTGGTCCCCGAAGCTTAATTCTAGTCCATGTCCCTCACGCAATTGAGTGATCAAACAACCTTGTGGAGTTGGCTTCTCCATAGGGATTGATATGAAGCTGCCTTGGCAACTCAGCCATCTCAACGACCTCCGGACATAAGGAAGTTTCCAAGTAGAACTGAAATTTTGGGTCGCTACAGGAGCATCAAAACCATCACCACTACCGTGCGTGTTGCATCATAGCGATCGCCCTCGAGTTGGAGCACCTCATGGCGATGGAGACAGTGGAGTAGCCAGCGAGGAATTTTGGTGATTACCCGAGGTACTGGAGCAGGGTGAAGGTGAGGCGCGTGACGAGGTAGGTCTCGCAGGCGGCATGGCCGACGTCGTGGCGGAAGGACGACTGCCTCCTGGGGCCGGCCGAGCCCGGGGGCCTCGGGGACGCGGACTGCACGGGCGACGAGCGGCGGCGGCCGGCGGAGTCGCTCCGCGGGAGGAGCGCGTCCGCCTCGCGCGCGTCGTCCCCGGAGGGGGGAGGCTGCATTGCCATTGCGTGGCGAAGGCTCGGGAAGGTCCGCCGGGCGGTTGGGAGTGGGAGATTCGAGTTGGTGCGGAAGAACGGGGCGGGGAGGAGGGGCGCGCCTAAATAGGAGGAGGCGGGGTGCGTGGCGTGGAGGGACGCGTGGGGGAGGCGAGGTGAGCGTAGCAACATGCCGCAAATCCTCGTTTGCCTCCTTGCTTCGCCATCCTTCCGGCGCGGGCGGACTTTTGCGGGCTGCGGAACCGGGCGAGGCTTTCGGTGCCGAAGGTAGAGTTGGATACAGCAACACGAGTGGTGGTGGTGTGACCCTGTCCAAATTCGAAAAATTATTTACTCGTGGTAGCAGTGCTACTATAGGTCACAGACAGAGCATATATCCTTTGCCAGCAAAAGGATGCGTAGAAGGCTTAACGATGGATGATTTGCACACCACACGACGCTGGATGCTCACACCCCAGCGAGGAAATCTCTTCCGTTATTAGTAGAAAATTAGAAATTTGAAAGGAAAAAAAAATGAAACGATGACAACAAACACGAGAGTATGTACTACCTATGGCATATGATAGTATAGTACAATACTTTCTGGTAGTACTAGTATGGGCTAAAATGATTGGTGAGTGGTGTACCGTGGTAGGGCCGCGTATATGATTGTGGCGTGAGGCAGGGGAATCTTTGCAGGTTCTAGAGCTTCGTTTGTGGTCTGCGGAGGGAGGCGTAGCTGGCTCTAGGGTGCGCCGGTGAGGTGAACGCCGCTGCCGTCCGCGTCCGCTCGGGGGGCCCGTGATTACGTGTCGCCGCGCCACGCGTTAGAACCCAACGACGCGTTTGGTTCCGCAAAAAAGGCGCGGCTTCCGATTACACCGACTTTCAAAACCGTAGCTGGCGTTTGTTTCGCGCACGACGTTTTTCATAGCAGCGCCTCCTAATACATCGCTTCAGAAAAGCTAAACCGCCCGATAGGAGGGGATTAAAAAAACAGGACTCGGCTGCACCAACCAAACAATGAACGTATTGCGTAAAATTAATCGGAAGCGGCGCTTCCTGATACGGCGAAGCGAATGCGTTACCGGGGCCAAACCAAACGTGTCGCAAGTGACTTTGCTCCTGGTTTCCGACACGGCTGGCCGGCTGATGCGACTCATTGGAAACGTGCCGCTTCACGTGGCAAATGGCACAAATTTACTCTTAGGAGGAAACTATTTCACAAACTAAATTGTTTTTAAAGTATTTCACATAGCTGATCTCTAATGTGCAACGCCTGACAGTTGTGCAGCGCCTAACATTCAGGCGCCATACATGTGCAGCGGCCGATAGTTAGGTGGTGCATTACATTGTGCAACGCCTAGTTGTATGGAGCTACACAAGCTGCATAGTAGAATGCAACGTCTTACTATCGGACGCTGCACAAAAGGATCAGCAGTGTGAAATATTTTTAAAAATAATTTAGTTTATGAAATATTTTTGCTCTGAGATCAAATTTATCAATTTATCAATTTTACTGCTTCACACTCCTCGAACGAATTCCTCAACAAGGCTGGACCCATAATCTTAGGATCCTCCATAATCTTAAGATTCTCGTAACTTTAAAATGTTCGTTTGTGAAGACCGCACATGCGAACGATTAGGTGACAATTTTAGTTTTGATAAAGTGGTGAGGGATATTTCTTCAGAGGACATATCAGTTTCTTCTTGAAAAGATAATTTTCATTTAAAAACTGTCATCGGTTTATCTCTTCTCGAATCTAAAATTGCCATCAAACATAGTTTGCAGTCACCCCTCTCCCAGCGAGCGGACGTAGGTAACATTACCGCAACTTTGTCCCCTTTTACATGCAGGGATGGGGCACGTAAATTTTCAGCCGCGTTTGTACATAGACTAAAAGAAACGTCCGTGCGTTGCAACGAGGTCACATTAATTTTAAAAGTTTAATATTAATTATATTAATATTACATTTAATATTCTCGTACATATTAAGTGACATTGACGACTTTTTTTACCATCAAATTCACACACACACACCCTCTCCCTCCCTCTTCCCCACTCTCTCTCCCTCTCTCCCTCACTTGGGAGGTGGGACGAAAATAAACCCAGAACGAAGACTACCAACTGAGACATTAGAAGTAGAGATCATTTAGTTGATAAAAATAAATAGAAAACGGTGTTAAAAAGGAGAAACAAATTAGAATACATTGAAAAACCAAAAGGACGATGTAAAAGGGGATTCGCCCTGCCCCCCGGGCCTTGCCACCGGACCGGCTCAGCGGTCCAGTCCCCGCGCGGTCGTCTTCTCCTGTTCCCCAAGCCGCGTCGCTACAGAGTCGGGCTCCCGCCCGACCACCTCGCTGGCATCGAAGGGAAATGGATAAGGGTGACGCCCTTTCTTCCCTGCCCCATGGCCTCACTCCTCCTTGACGCCCCCTCCCAAATCTACTTCTCCTCTCGCTCGCTCGATCCCGTCGATCTGGACGAAGTCAGACGCCACGGTCACCATGACCGACCCCGTTCACATGGCCACTGCCCTCCCTGCGGGCTAGGAGCTTGTCGAGGAGCTCCGAACGCCTTCGCTACTTCGTCTGCGCTAACGAGATCAAGTCCAGCACCCCCGCATCGACGTCGCTGCCGTCTTCCTCAACCTTGGGCCACCGCGACATTGTCATCCGATCCGCGCTGCCCCGAGCTCCCATGTCTTCCCCTAGGGCACCATTGACACCGCCATGATCTCCTCTTGCCTTTTCCCTGTTTCCCCTCTCGTTTGCTCCCGTTAGGTATTTCGCCGTGGCTGAGAACCGCCGTTCGCCACGGCCATTGCAGGGGTAGCCACCGAGCTCCTCGGATTGACCCTGTGGCACATGCCTGCTGTTATGCACGCCCATGCCCGAGCCTGCCGCTCTTCTTCCGCGCCCGCGGGGCCACTCCCTCCCCATGTCCACGCCCGTGCTACACCGCGTCGGTCGCGCCTGCCGCTGCCGTCGCGCTCGCCGCAGCCACTGTACCACTGTGCCCCACGCGACACACACCCTGGCCGCGCGCCACACTCTCGCTGGCTGCGCTCACCCCGTGTGCTGCCGCCTATCCCTTCGCTCGCCCCGCTGTCGCGCCCCTGCCTCGCGCCGCCTCCAGTCGTGGCCATCTTCTGCCGGCCGCCCCCTCAGCCACGCCGGCCGCATCTCTGCTGTAACGCCCTCGATGCGGCTATATCTCCCACGTGTCGAAGCACGACTTAGAGGCATAACCGCATTGAAAGCAATGTCGCAAGTGAGGTAATCTTCACACAACCCATGTAATACATAAGGGAAAAAGATACATAGTTGGCTTACAATCGCCACTTCACACAATTACAGGAATAAAGCATTACATCAACCAGATACAATCAAGGTCCGACTACGGAACCAAAATAAAAGAAGAACCCCAAATGCGACAAAGGTCCCCGATCGACCCCAACTGGGCTCCACTACTGATCAACTAGAACGAAACGACACAAAGGACAAGATCTTCATCGAGCTCCTCCTTGAGCTTGGTTGAGTCTCCTGCACGGTCTCAACGGCACCTGCAAACTGGTTTTAGAAGTATCTGTGAGCCACGGGGACTCAGCAATCTCGCACCCTCGCGATCAAGACTATTTAAGCTTATGGGTAAGGTAAAGGTATGAGGTGGAGCTGCAGCAAGCGACTAGCATATATGGTGGCTAAAAATACGCAAAAAAGAGCGAGAAGAGAAGGCAAAACACGATCGAGAAATCTATGATCAAGAAGTGATCCTATAGCAACCTACGTCAAACATAACTCCAACACCGTGTTCACTTCCCGGACTCCGCCGAGAAGAGACCATCACGGGAACACACGCGGTTGATGTATTTTAATTAAGGTCAACTTCAGGTTTTCTACAACCGGACATTAACAAATTCCCATCTGCCCATAACCGCGGGCACGGCTTTCAAAAGTTCAAATCCCTGCAGGGGTGTCCCAACTTAGCCCATGACAAGCTCTCACGGTCAACGAAGGAATAGACCTTCTCCCGAGACATTCCGATCAGACTTGGTATCCCGGTTCTACAAGACACTTTGACAAGTTAAAACAAATCCAGCAACACCGCCCAAATGTGCCGACAAATCCCAATAGGAGCTGCACATATCTCTTTCTCAGGGCACACTCAGATTGTCCTAGGTACGGGTTGGCCAGCCCAGAGTTTCCCCTGGTGGCCACCGGCAGCTGACAGGTTGGACCAACACTCAGAGGAGCACTGGACCGGGGGGGTTAAAATAATGATGACCCTTGAGTCTACAGAACCCAAGGGAAATAAAAGGCTAGGTGGCAAATGGTAAAACCAAGGTTGGGCATTGCTGGAGGAGTTTTATTCAAGGCGAACTGTCAAGGGGTTCCCATTATTACCCAACCGCGTAAGGAACGCAAAATCCGGGAACATAACACCGATATGACGGAAACTAGGGCAGCAAGAGTGGAACAAAACACCAGGCATAAGGCCGAGCCTTCCACCCTTTACCAAGTATATAGATGCATTAATTAAATAAGATATATTGTGATATCCCAACAAGTAAACATGTTCCAACAAGGAACAACATCTCCATGTCCCAACAAGGAACAAACTTCAATCTTCACCTGCAACTAACAACGCTATAAGAGGGGCTGAGCAAAGCGGTAACATAGCCAAACAACGGTTTGCTAGGACAAGGTGGGTTAGAGGCTTGGCTTAACAATATGGGAGGCATGATAAGCAAGTGGTAGGTATCGCAGCGTAGGCATAGCAAAAGAGCGAGCAACTAGCAAGCAAAGATAGAAGTGATTTCGAGGGTATGGTCATCTTGCCTGAAATCCCGCAAGGAAGAAGAACGAGTCCATGAAGAAGACAAACGAACGTAGACGAACGGTTCCTCACAACGCGATGTTAACGGAACCAACCCGAAGAAGCAACACCGGAAAGAAGCACACAACATAGTAAACAAACATCACATAAGCATGGCACGATGCACAACCAAGTATGATGCATGTCCGGTTTAAAGAAGCATGGCATGGCAAAAGAGCACAAGCAATCCTACAAATTAAGTGGAGCTCAATATGCAACGAGTTGCATATTGACGAAACACCACGTGACTTATTTAGTTCTCTCTCGTTTATGTACCCAACAATATTAAATGTTGTTAGCATGGCAAGAG